CGCCAAGTTGCCCAGGCAGGTCTCAAACCCGTGGACTCAGGCAATCCACTCACCTCAGCTTCCCAAAGCGCTGGGATTACAGGCTGAGCCACCGATCCCGGCTCCCAGAGCTATATTCTTCCCAGGACTTTACACTTCTTTGATATCCAAACCAGTCTCAGACCTGCCAATGGGAAGGACCGTGTATTTGACAGGATCTTCTTTCTTGTGTGCTAAATGGGGACATCAACTGTTTTTCTCCCTTTCAAAGCTGTTCTCTAATAATTTGCCTCAAATTCCTCCAAACAAAACAACTTGCAGCTGCAAGTCACTCCAGCTTTCTGGTTCACTGCCTACTTGGGCATAAACAGCTGGTGTACTGGCTTCTACTTTAACTACCGCCAGGCTTGGCACAGTTCCAGGCTCCTTGGGTACTGAACCTTCCGGGGTCCATAAAGTTAATTTTCCAGACTAACTTGATTTCACCTGGTATGAACTTTAGGCAAGGTAACTCTGGGGAAGTTGACACTGACTTTCTCACTTTGTTTCAAAAAATGTACATACATATATATTTACGGGGGGCGGGGGAGAGAGAGAGAGAGCACGCTAGTGTGCATGCGTGTACCAGGGTCTCACTTTGTGACCCAGGCTGGAGTGCAGTGGCATGATTACGGCTCACTATAGCTTCAACCTCCTGGGCTCAGGTGATCCTCCTGCCTAGGCCTCACAATTAGCTGGGACTATATGCACACCATCATGCCCTGCTAATTTTTTGTTTTTGTTTTTTTTGTAGCGACAAGGTTTCTCTATGTTGTTTAAGCTGGTCTCAAACTTTTGGGTTCAAGCAATCTTCCCGCCTTAACCTCCCAAAGTGCTGGGATTACAGGTGTGAGCCACCATGCCCAGCCCTCCCGCCCCCCAAAAAATTCTGGGCCAGAAAACAAAACAAAGGATTTCAAAGAATTTAAGTCACACAAGTGAGTTCTCTGAAAATAAAGGAAATAAACTAGAAATCAATAACGGAGAGATATCTTTAAAAATTCCTAAGTAGTTGAAAATTAACACATTTCAAAATAACCCATGGGTCAAATAGGAAGTCACAAGGAAATAAGAAAATATTTTGAACTGAGTGAAAATGAAAATACAACATAGCAAGATTTCTGTGATGCATTTAAAGTGGTGCTCAAGCCGGGCTCGGTGGCTCAGCCTGTAATCCCGCGCCTTTGGGAGGCTGAGGTGAGTGGATTGCCT